TAAGCCCAAATATGGATAATGTGATGGGACAGAAATTTCCCATTCCTCACCACCCAACAAGAATCAGGAGCAAAGCAGAAGTTTCCATATTAGGTCACAATTTTCCAAGAGTCTCTAGTAACTTGGGGCATTCTCTGATTACATCATCATAAAATTTGGCTAGTAGAAAAGTAAATTGAGGACTAAATAGAATGTGTGATTTCAATGGAAATTTTTACTTTTCTCAGCTTTTTTTTCCTTCTGTTAAGTTATATTAATAGATTTTTTGCTTCTTAATCTCAACTCTGAGTAATTTAAAATACCTTTCTTCATAACTCTTTATGATAAATTTTAGAATATTCTCCACGCGGCCCAAAGCAAGCTTTGTTTCTCAACATGGTAGCAATCACCCTTTCAAATAAAGAACTTTCTGGAGTGCTGGAGATCTTACCCTGTCACCTTTCATTCCAGGAAGTCCAGGGGGCCCAGGCAAGCCAGGGAGGCCAGGGCTACCCAGAGAACCCTGGAAAACAAACGAAGTGCAGGAGTTACTGTCTCTGCCTTCTGTGCTTTCAGTGTTGCAGTAACAACCTTGAGTGTGTTTGACTCTGTGTCTAAAATAATTGACTTGTGCTGTGGTTGGTTGAACTCTGCTTCTTTGGTTTGCCCCTCTTTGATATTCTCAGGAGAAGAGAAAGGGCCAGTTCTCTCCCAGCCTCCACTCCACCCGGAGGTCCTCAGTTCCCCTTGCACTCCTTGGCAACAGTAGGCTCTTTCAGTCAAGCCCCCGCCACTCCCACTGTCTGCAGTGGTGCTGCTGCTCCTCTCGCTGTGTAAACAAGCACTGCACAAGAAGTCAAAGGCACCGTTCACTCTGTTTTCTGCCATTCCAAGAACAACCAGAGACCAAATGCAGCACTTCCTGTCTCTCCAGGTTTAAAAATGGATGCTACAAACCACTCAGATTAAAATATCCTCTGAGGGTATCCGACAAATAATTTGAAATTTCCCCTTTACATTTTTCACATATTCACATAACAAGAGAAATTAAGTAAAAGTAATTCAATTATAAATTGTTTTCTCCTCTTGCTTATTTGTAAAAATGTGATTTGTAGAAGGCAAGTAAATGAAACTTTTTTACTTACCAGTTTACCTGGTAGCCCTGGCGATCCCACTGGTCCCATTTCTCCTCTACTGCCCTATTAAAACAAACATTGTCAACTGGATATTTTGCCAGAATTCAGATGCTTGGTTACTATGTAAATAAAATAACACTACCTAGGTTTTTTTCCTTCAGCTAAAGGCATAGGCCATCATACATAGTGCCTCCAGCGTCCTGTGTTCATCTTGCTTTGAATGATTCAAATGCTGTTTACTGTGATCACAGACATTTAGAAATGATAGCTGATACAAATAGATGAAATGGCAATCAGTCACTTTCAACATCTAAATCACATCCTAACTTTTATGGTTATTTGTGTCTATATTTTAAGCTCTCACTTAGCTTATGTGTTCTTGAGGTATTGCTATATATTAATTTGGAATTCTGCACAGTGCCTAGGACACAGAATAAATTTTCAGGTCTACAGAACATTTCAAAGCAACATCTGGCAAATGATCTTAAACCTCAACAGAGTGAAAAAAGAAACACAGAATAGATATGTTTGCCTTTAAATTACTATTGCAGCTTCAAAAAGACACAGATGGTAAAAATTTATAAAGTTTCTGAAGTAAAAAATTTTTCTTCTACTCGTTCTAAACATGTCTTAAAAGATTAAACAGACTTCAGAAAGTAGAACTTATACCGAAGATATGAAAAAAGTAATTTTATTTTGTGAACCCACTTCAAGTTTTTATTTGAAACTCTAAGCTTTCAAATTTTTATTGGAAACTCTAAGCTTTTAAAATCTATTGAGGAAAAGAAACACAAACTTTTCAACTTTTTCCCCTGAGTACTTCATACAATTTTATGCAATCTGACAAAAGCTCATTTTATTTCTTATTTTTTTTATTTTTTTTTATTTACTTTTTTTTTTTTTTGAAACAAGTCCTGCTCTTGTTGCCCAGGCTGGAGTGCAATGGCGCAATCTCAGCTCACTGCAACCTCCAACTCCCGGGTTCAAGTGATTCTCTTGCCTCAGCCTCCGGAGCAGCTGGGATTACAGGAGACCACCACCACCACGCCTAGCTATTTTTTTTTTTTTGTATTTTTAGTAAAGACAGGGTTTCGCCATATTGACCAGGCTGCTCTCAAACTCCTGACCTCAGGTCATCTGCCTGCCTCAGCCTCCCAAAGTTCTGGGATTACGGGCATGAGCCACCGCATCTGGCCAGCTCATTTTCTTTCCAACCCATGTTCAACTAAACTGAACACCGACATCATTGGATAAATCACATTTCCTGGAAGGTGTATATAAAAATAAAAGGAGTTATTTAAGTTAATTTTTCTGTAAAATGACATGACAACTCCATATTAATGTTTAATATTTATAAATACTTCCAATAAGATTCTTCTGTTCTGACTCATATGCTATTTATTCATATTTAAGTTTAACAAAGTGTCAAGATCCATAAACCTTCTGAATTTTAAATTTCTCTAAAGGATTAAGAACTGTTTGCAAAATTATAACAATCTAGCTATTAATATAAGCAATAATTCCATGGTAGTCATGTCATAGGACTTACAGGTGATTTAAACTAAATGCTGTTTAACATTTTTCAACAGTTTTATTTAAACAATCTGTGTCTGGTATATGGCTTTGGGGTGATACATGGGTCCTTAACCTCATGAGCAGTTTGGAAGCCAGAGGCAGTGCCCGGTGAGGATGAATGCTGGAAGGATGTCAGTGTAGATGAAAACCAGTCCCTGCAATAGATTCCTCTATCCATCTATAAAGATAAATTGGGTTCTACCCCATCTTTACAACTTCAAAGTTCAAGACAGACTTTCTTCATTGTATCTGCTCTGTTGGCATTTTTATTTCTCAAGGACAGCATCACTGACATCCTAAATATCTCTGGGCTCACGTGACTTTAATTTCATGGAACAATTTACAGTAACTGGTGGGGGAAAGTTAATATCAGAAGGGGAAAGCTCAGTTCTTTACACAGTCTTAAGTATTCATTTCTAAATAAATAGACCATTATGCTCTCTTATCCAAAATAAGATTATTGTACTTTTTTTTCTCTTCCATAAACCAAAGGGCTAACTTAAGAGATTATATAATCTTTTATTTATTTGGGAGAGGATTAATTATCTTACCAGTGAATAACAAAGATTTTCTCTGCTGGACTCATTTTCTGTCTTTTCTAAGTTATTACACTTTATAAGTGCTTTCCAATCGCTGGCAGACTCTTAGTAATATATGTGAATGAACAGCTCACAGACCCATATATACAGCCTGCTCTGCTGAACTTATGTACCCCTAAGAGTCCAGCACATGTAATATGGAGGAAAGGATCAGTAAAATTGTGAGCATTTACTCCCCTGTTACTGCACAAAGGGACAGCATGTGGTTCCTCATTTTTATTTCATTTCCATCCTATAAATCCTAAATGCAGGTAATTTTACAGAAATCACCTCATTGTGAAAAACAGCAATGTTTATTTTCCCAAGAGTGACCAAACAGTTACAAGTGAGGTGTTAGGGCAAGATTTTCTGATGCCTGTTCATGTGATTTGTCTTCTAATAACATGCATACTCTTTCTCTAAGTTCTGGAATTTCATCTGCTAAGCTAAGATGAGCATAAATAATCAAGATATACATAGTTATCTCTGAAGACACAGACTAAACACATTTCTTAGGGAGTAATTAAGCATGTGGGAGTCATTTATATCCTATTGCTCAAGGTCATTACCAAGGTCTGATTATGAATATTTTAAAAATTGTAACCTCAGGCATAAATGGGTTACCCCTGGCACTGGTAACCCAAGTATGCTAAATAAATGCTAAAATTCTTAGTCTTCAACAACCATGGTGATAACCATGTTCTCAGGTGTGGGCCAGAGAGGGTGGTAAGAAATGGCTGTTCTTCCCAGTTGCTAATATGTATAAACCCCATGACAATAAGGGTTCCAATTTGTAATAAAATAATCAGAAGGAACTGGAATAAAGGCAAAATCCTACCATTAAAAATGATGAACTGGCTGGGTGTGGTGGTCACATCTCTAATCCCAGCACTTTGCTAGGCTGAGGCAGGTGGATCCCTTGAGATCAGGAGTTCAGGACCCAGCCTGACCAACATGGTGAAACCCCATCTCTATTAAAAATACAAAAATTAGCTGGGCATCATGGCAGGCACCTGTAATCCCAGCTACTCGTGAGACTGAGGCAGAAGAGTCACTTGAATCTGGGAGGTGGAGGTTGCAGTGAGCCAAGATTGTGCCACTGCACTTCAGCCTGGGCAACAAAGTTAGACTCCATCTCAAAAGTAAAAATGACAAACCTCAACTAAAGGCTGTACATTTCTCTTGGATGCTCTGTGCTGCCACATACATCCCCAACAAATTCAGACACATCTACCAACTCATCTCTTTTTAAGAAGCCAATCAGGGTTGGGTGCAGGGGCTCACACCTATAATCCCAGTACTTTGGAAGGCTGAGGTGGGCAGATCACCTCAAGTCAGGAGTTTGAGACCAGCCTGGCCAACATGGTCAAGCCTTGTCTCTATAAAAATTAGCCAGACATCATTGCAAGCACCTGTAATCCCAGCTACTAGGGAGTCTGAGGTGGGAGAATTTCTTGAAACCAGGAGGTAAATGTTGCGGTGGCCTGAGATTGCACCATTACACTCCAGCCTGCATCAGAGTGAGGCTCCGTCTCAAAAAAGAAAAAGAAAAAAGCTGCCAATCAGGGCTTTGAAAAAGATGCATCCCTTCTATCAGTGATTCCCAGTGATGACTAGACATCAGAATCCCCTGAGTTCTTTAGAAATATGTTGCGTTAGATGTCCTCCCTATCCCGCTCCCCCCACCCCGACCACCACCACCACCACCACCACCATCTCCTCATTCTCTCTCTTTATTCTAATTCTCTGCCCTCTGATTCTAATTCTGTAGGTCTGGGGTAAGATCCAGGAATCTGTATGCGTTTTCATTATATTGGTTTGTCTTTATCAGCTTTATTTAGACTTTTGTTAAATGCCCACCATCAAAGTTCCATAAATTTTAAATAATTCACTAAATATGTCTTGTATCATCAGCATTTAGCAAGCAAACTTCAACTGAATAAGTCACAGCCTGTGGAGCTATGACTTGAGCTACTGAGGCATGCGAGGGTGGAGATGAAAACATGGACTCAAAGCCCAGTGGCCTGGTCTGAAGCTCATTTTGCCAATGTGTCTCATAACCTCAGGCAAACAACTTAACCTCTCCATGCCTGTGTCCTCGTCGACAAAGTGGGGATAAAAATAGTGTTTATCTCATAGAGCATTTTTGAGGATTGAATAAGTTAAAAGACATACATCACTTAGAACTATGCCTGTCTCATAGTAAACATAGTAGAAGTATTAGTTATATTTATCTGAGGTAGTTACTAAAGAAATCAGTCAAAAAATTTTTTGACCAAATGTTTAATTAAATTTTGTTTGCCTTTCAAATCCCCCAAGTCCCTTTAAAAGTACAAGTTGTGCTTGGGAAAAAATAAGTCTTTAGTCCTCATGTCTCCAGTTCCTGTCAGCACCACTGATCATCAAGCAGGTACCTTCTTTATAAATAAGTACTGGGTGCTATTTTGTAAAAACTATTTCCATAAATACATACACCTAAATAATTCAAGTTGGAGGCTTTCCTTTTAAAATGGAACTGTTAGATTTTTAAAAGATCACAGAAAATATTAGATTTAATTTAATTATACTTATATTGCCAAAAATATTTCATCAAAAAATGGATTATATTCCATCGTGCTGTAGCTTGTAATGGCTGATGTCTTTGTCCAACTACCCAAAATGCCAACTAACCAAAGAACAAACACTATCCTCAGTATCTTTCCAATTCAGAAGTTGAAAATTATAAATCACTATATTTAGTCTGTTCTATATATTAAGTGCCTCTCTCTGACAAAAAGAATGCTGATTAACCTAGGAGATCAATTATGATTTCTACAGATTGCTGCTTTTATAAACCCATTTTTATGTTAACATTGAAAGATCATAGTAATCCTACTACAATGATAACATTTAGATTTGTCACAAAGATTTTTAAAATATGTTCTATTTTACATTATATAGCTTGCATGTTTCTCTTGTGTAGGTTTATATATGCCCTAGTACAGAGGTAGAAAAAAAAATCTGTCCAAACTCTAATCATCACACACATCAGCTTCACAAATTGACAGAGGAAACATACCAGTGCCTAGATGGAATGGGAGGGTGTTAGATCATTCACAATTTGCGGACCTCTGTTACTGAGGCTGTTGGTATAGGAGGGGTGGTAAAGGACTACAAGAGAAAGTAGACAGGCTTCTGTACACAAGGAATGAATCATCTTCAGAAAACTGAGGTTAATCAGCATAAAACTCATTCTGCTCCCAGAGCCATGAGAGCAGAACAAACACAACCCACTCAGCAAAAGCCCTGACAAGTTCCGAGAAGCCAGGAAGACAGAAATGGATCCAGAGCTCCCACATGATAGGACCAAGTGAAAAATCCCACGTCATGTGCCTGTGTGAAACCAGGAGCCACCCAGACCAGGTGAAAACCAAGGGAAGTACCATGGAGAAATCCAGAGGCATGGCCCGTGTAGTAAAGGCAGGTGCTCATGTGAAATCACTGGTGGTAGATACAGTGAAGTTTTTCCCCAAAAGGGAAGCTAATTAAGTCAAATAAGACATATTCTGTCTCCATGTGCTCTAATTTCTAAAGGTTTAACCCACCTGTTTCCTGATCTGCCAGGTATGTCCAGGTATGCCCAGGCACATCCTAGCTTGTAGAATATACCCCTTTCCCTATTTAGACATGTTATTGCTTTTCTAGCCTTTTTGCAAACACTTCCTCCCTTCCTTTGTTCTCCATTGCCTTTACTAATTTAGGAAAGTTTTAAGTTTTTAGCCAATCAGGTTTATCTTAGATTGTGCAGTCCAGCTCCAGCCAATGGAGGCTGGACACAATCATAGAAACCCCATGTGTTAAAGATAAAAAGCCCTCCTTTCCTTTTGTTCAGTGTGCTCTCGTGGCAACCAGGCCTATGAGCTGCACCCTTCTATGGAAGTAAAATTGCCTTGCTGAGAACTTCTTTGTTCAAGTGTTCATTTTCTTTGCAACTCTGAACTTTTACTTCCAACAACTGGAGTCACCAAAATGAACAGACAATATTCTGTTCAAACATGTGAGGCATTGTTAAAAATGATCAAATATGCGAGGCATTGTTAAAAATGTTTGAACTTATCTACAAAACTGAATTTAATGATGTCAAGTGAAAGAACAAATGTGTCTTTCAGTAAGCAGATTTTGTGTTAAAACTCTGCTCCAGAACTATAATATTTATAACTTATGACATTTTTCAGAAAATGTTATAGTAGGTGAGAAGTCAGTTATTACCAACAAAAACAGCATGGCAGGATTTATTATGCCTCCGATTCAATTCATTTCAAGAAATATCAATTGAGGGCTACTGTATGGCAGGCCCTGAGGAAAGCGAGATGGGAAACACAGCAGTGAAGCAGACATGACTGGTGCCTTCTGCAGTTACCACAGCATGGTGTACAAAGGAGACAAGAGTTACAGAGTTCAGAATAAGGAAAGGTCACTTCTATCTGGAGGACAGGACATAACTAGAAATGTTTTCATGGTGCAATTAACAATCCAATTACATCTGAGACAGCTTATCGAATATTGAGTCAGATAAATGGAGAAACGAGCCATATAACTACAGGGTCTGGCCTACAGGAAACCAGGCAGGCTAAGAGGTAAAGAGTATTTGAGAATTAACATAGAGTCCAAGCTGACTTGAACGCAAGATCTGAGTAAAGCAGAAATGAGAAGTAAAATTGGGAGGTTAACAGACAGTTTAAAATTTTAGACTTTCTCTTATTGTCCATAGAAATCCATAGAAGATTTTTAAATGGGGAGAAGTGAGTATGAACACTGCACTTTGGAAATACCAATGCAGGGCTGTGTGCAGACTCAGGGGAACTGTCATTCCTCAGGGCTTTTGGAATTGTGTTTGGCATTTTTGTTTGTCCCAATGACTGTGGAGAGCTACTGATGTTCATGCAGAATGGAGGTCATGGATGTGAGACACCCTGCCATGTGCAAGGTTTCTGGAAAACAAATAACTAGCCCAGTCCAAATTGCAGCAGTACCCTATTGGGAGATACTGGTAGAGAAAGAAAAGACTGCAGCTGGGAAGACAATTGCAGTAATCCAAGCCAGGGTGGTTGAAGTGGGACTGGAAATGAAAAGTCAAATATAAGAGATCCTGAAAAGAGGACAGAACCAACAGGTCCTTCTTGTGATAGGAAATGTGATGGAGGAAAATGCCCAGGTTTTGAGCCTCAGGGACAGGAGCAATGGCAAGAATTTGGACTCTTACAGAAATTTAAAAATCAAAATCTGAAAATCAGACCCAAAACCCTGCATCAGCATAGCTTCCTATGATCGGCCTCACCTCAGGAAAATCAACCCCCTACCCCATCCTCTCCTGAGGTGCTGCCTCTGGTTCTTCATTGCTTTATGCAGCTCATGGCACTTAACTGGTGACGGGCCAATCAGCACTCCCTACTCCATGTCATATTTTGTATTCACACATGGTTCTGGCCCACAAGTGCTCAGCCAATGTTCCTTTAACTATATGGAGCTTTCTGTTCTTTAAAGTAAAGCCACCCAGGCAAGGTGGCTCACACCTGTAATCCCAGCACTTTGAAAGTCCAAGAAGGGTAAATCGCCTGAGCTCAGGAGATCCAAACCAACCTGGGCAACATGGCAAAACCCTGTCTCTACAAAAAATACACCAATTAACTAGGTGTGGTGGTGTGTGCCTGTAATTCCAGCTACTCTAGGGGCTAAGGTGGGAGGATCAGCTGAACTCAGGTAGTAGAGATTGCAGTGACCTAAGATCATGCCACTGCATTCCAACCTGGGCAACAGAGTGAGACTCTGTTTAAAATTAAATTAGATCAGATTAAATTAAATTAAAATGAATAAGAGATATAATAGTAAACATTAGCAAAGCTCTAATGGCCCCATGCTGCTAAATCTTCCTGGACTAGCCATATAGCATCTTCATTGTCTTAGAAATGTGATCTGGCTATAATGTCATTGTTTCAACAGTTAATTTATGGAAAGTATTTTAATTATAAATTCACAGGCTTCAAGCCAAAGAAAAGAATGAAATAAGTGCAGAGCAAGTGAGTGAGTGCCATGACGAGGAATAGGAGCTGGTTGCTCTGGCTGCAGAAACCTCAGGAAACCACCTGGTAGAAGTCAGCTGACAAATATCTGTAAGAAGTGGAGAAATTCCATTCCCATGCCACAAGACACCTGGAATACTTCACTTTTCTCACGTGTGGAAGTCTTCATTCAACATGCCCAAGAAATGCTTTAAAAGAAGTAATAGTGATATTTGGAAATGTTTCTGTGTTCTCACTTGGAGTTCTTTTTGCCATTCGGCAGCCCCAAATAAGAACTGAAACTGAAGGCCAGAGAGAATGTTTTAAAGTCAAATTTAGATGTATGATATTTCCTAATCAATTTTTCTCTAGGATTAAATTGCATATAATGAGAAAATCTGCATTGCTATGGCTGCTATAAAATAAACAAGTTTACAAACTCACACTGAAAGAAGTCTGCGGTTTCTTCAAAGCAGCACTACCCTATGACACAGCAATTTCACTCCTAGGTAAGTACTCAAGAAAAATTAAAACATATGTCCACACAAGAACCTGTACACAAGTGTTCATATCAGCACTTTTCATACTGGCCCAAAAATGGAAACAATCCAAATGTCTGTCACCAGATGCATGGATCAATAAAATGTGATATATCCATAATTAATCCCCACAATTAAATATTATTCAAGAATAAAAAGGAATGAAGTACTGATACATTCTACAGCATAGATAAACCTTGAAACATTATACTAAGTGAGAGAAGTCAATCATTAGGAAAAAAAATATGGCTGGGCATGGTGGCTCATGCCTGTAATCCCAACATTTTGGAAGGCTGAGGCAGAAGGATCACTTGAAGCCAGAAGTTCAAGATCAGCCTGGTAATATAGCAAGACCCCATCTCTACAAAAAAAAAAAAAAAATCAAAAATTAGCCAGGTGTGGTGGTGCACCCCTTCAGTCTTAGCCACTCAGAAAGCTGAGGCAGGAAGACCACATGAGCCCAGGAGTTTGAGGTCACTGTGAGCTATGATTATGCCACTGCATCCCAACCTGGCCATATATTTTAAAAGAGAGTAAGAGAGACCATATATCTTTTTTGTTTTTTTTTTGAGACAGAATTTCGCTCTATTGCCAGGCACCAGGCTGGAGTTCAGTGGTGCGAGCTCAGCTCACTGCAACCTCCGTCTCCCAAGTCAAGCAACGCTCCTGCCTCAGCTTCCCAAGTAGCTGGGACTACAGGCGTGCACCACCATGCCCAGCTAATTTTTTTTTTTTTTTTTAGCAGAGATGGGGTTTCACCATGTTGGCCAGGATGGTCTCAATCTCTTGACCTTGTGATCCACCCACCTTGGCCTCCCAAAGTGCTGGGATTACGGGTACGAGCCACCCTGCCTGGCCTGAGAGAGACCATATATCTTAAAAAATTACTTATTTTTTAAAAAACAAAGACCTCACATTGTGTGATCCTATTTATATAAAACTTCCAGAATTGGGAAATCTATAGAGATAGAAAGTATAGTGGTTATCTAAAACTGAAGGAATTAAGAGGAAATGATGGATGACTACAGGTGGGTATAGGGTTTGTTTTTTAGGTGATGAAAATATTCTAAACTTGATTGGGGTGATGATTTCACAATTTCATCAATATGCTAAAAATCAATAAAGATGGGTTAATTATGCCGTATGTGAATTGTATCTCAATGTTGGGTCTTGTTAAGTCACACTAAAACATTTCCTTAAAAATGAGATGAGAGCAGAAAGGGTCACCATGCTTTTTGAAGCACTTTATTTTTGTTTCCATTTTCTGAAAAGACATGTTGTGCATCTAAATAGCGCTCTATTTCCTTGTGTATCTTGGACTGGCATGAGCTTAATTGTCACACAGCATTCATGAATGAATGAATGAATGAATGAAAGAGTGAGTGAATGGAAGAACATCCAGCAAAGTCCTGAGAAAGTGCTTTGGGAAAGCACAGCAGGGAAGGAATACTTACAGGAAGTCCCCGGGGTCCTCGGGGTCCCACCTCTCCTGGAGGCCCTTGTTGGCCCTGTTATGAGGGAGGTAGAAAAGAAGTTAACACCTACCGATTACAACAGGTTAGAGCTTCAGGAGAGGTGAAATGGCTTCTTACCGGTTTGCCTGAATTTCCCATCTGACCAGGCTTCCCTGGAGCACCTGTGCTACCCTAAGGGTAAAATGAAACATTCAAAGTAACTCATGCTGAAGTAAGCATAATCATCAATCTGCCTTACCCATGCTGGGTATCTCTTACATTTAAATAACATTCATTCCCTGCTTTCACATCGAGAATCTGGGAATGTGCAGAATCCCTTTCTTTTTATATACATCAAAATCCTTTAGATTCAGGATATTGTCTGTTAGTCTAAGAAATATATTGAAGGTTAAATGTCAGACAATGAGGGGTTTTAGCCTTCATTTAAGAGGAGCCTCTTCAATTAGAGGATTTTTCTTTCTTCACAATATTAATATTACATCTTTCCTTTACCATTTCCACCTCCAGCATAATTCTTTGAGCCTTTTTACCACACATTAAACTATTAAAACTAAGAATCAGACCAACATGGGGAAATAGGATGTGCTGATGAGAAAACCCCGCTAGCAGGCTCTAAAGAATGCACATGTCTGGAGATGCCCTCTCCACCATCAGTCTCTTGTGGTCCTTATTGGGAACCTCTCTGCTCAAGACACTGCAGAACACTGCGATTGGCGGCTCGCAGCCTTGTGCTCTAATAGTGACAAGTGTCTACATTATTCACCTTTTATCCCTTGTCTTCTCTAGCAAAGCTATATTTTGTCCCTTAAAAGCTTTTCCACCTATTGTTTTTAACTGCTTACATTTTGGTTTTGTGTAAAATATAAGCGCTGGTTGATCAGTACGTGAAGAAAATGCCTAATATCTTTTTATTTTAGCTGAATCATCCTAGTAATAGTTTCTGACATAAGTTCTGTGGCTTTATAATATCTCCCTTATTTTAGGTAGTAAGGAACAATAAAATGTTCTCTGTTTTATACTGGCAAAGGATGACATTTTCATTAAAGAAACCTAATTAGCAGCACTTTGTCAAAGTATGCTTTCTATAGCTAGGAAAAAGATTAGTATTTTAAACCTTAAAGCTTTTACTTTTTTACTTCTCCCTGGGGCCAAATATAAAATAACTGACATGCTGAAAATATTAAAAATTGCAAATAAAATACGTTAATAAAGAATAAAGAAATTAAGAAAAATAGTAATTTAAATTTTTAAATATTTTACCTTTTCACCAGCAACACCCTTTGCACCAGGAATTCCAGGTACACCCTAAAAGAATACATACACAATCTGCGTTTAATCACCTCCTCTGAGAACTCATGAGATGCCAAGCCCACTGCACACTGCAGGGAGGCTGAGGGAATCATGGCAACCTCAAAGCTTTAATGTGAGGAAGATGCTTCCTGGTTCCCAAACCCTGCACAGTCATTTATAGAACTACCCACAGTTTTAGAGGTCATGACTTTACTATAACTGGCTTGTTAAAGCCAAATACCCTTAAAGCAAATCTTGTCTTTAAACTTATTTTTCAAGGACAAACTTCCCAAATTAGAATCCAGTCCAATTTTCAGGTCAATAAGAGCTCTAATAGGCAAGAGAGAGACTACAGGGATGTGACAGGGTTTCATGCAGAAAGCGCTAAAAGGAGGGTCTCCCAAAAATGCTGGGCATTATAGTAGAAAAAAGAAACGGCAGGAGGATGCTGGGCCTGACTCAGATTTGGTATTATTGGTGCTAACATTATCTGATTATTAAAAAGTATCAGGTGTCATAAAACATTGGGGGTCAGTCTTTGGTATTACCAAGTATTCTTTATTAATTAGAAAAATTTGCCTCCAAAGAGCCAAGAATACATGTGGTACAATCCATAGGAACTTCCAGACACATTAATGTAGGTAAATATCAATTTGAATGATTAAAAATAGTACGTAATCCAAGTGGTCACCTAAGCATATGCTCAGCACCCCTGTTGCTCAACATTACTAACAAGAACTTTAGAACTGGTTTAAAGTGGGATGAAATATATGACACTGGCCCACAGCTTAGGGTTAGTTAAAAAAATATATAAAGAAGACTGAGCAAACTAAAGGGAGAAAAGGAACCCAAAACATAAAATTAAAGCCTATTATTTACAGTTATTACACAAATAGCTATTCAGAGAAAAAGTATAAAATATAAAATATAACTGTAAATTGTAAAAATATAAAAGTAAAACATCATAAATTCCCCAGAACTTATCAAATCAGGTAGCATGTCTCTTCCCAAAATGTATATCTTTAAACCAATTAACATGTAAAGAATCTATAAAAATATATCTATAAACTAAAAAATATATCTATATTTATATAAATTTTTATATATAAATACATAAAAATATATATAAACCAATTACCATGTAAAGAATCAAATACTTACTGGTAACCCCTGCAATCCTGCATCGCCGGGAGGCCCAGGTTTTCCTGGTTCACCCTGAAAAAAAACGCTTTTATCACATGATCGAACCTGTATGAGCTGCTGTATTTCTTTTAAGAAAGGGAGGAGAATTCTAGTAAAAGGATTGTCTCAACAGCTAACTTTACATGCACTTTTATAAAGTGGTTTAACTTAGGGTGGGGGAGTAGGGTTGGAAATAGGACATAATTTAACCAAAATGCACAGTCTCTCTCAACCTACTTTCATCAATAGGGCAGTTTTACTGAGTTCCTGAAACTAAGCAAATAATTATACTACTCTAATAAGTATTTCACATTTGACACTTGATTCAAAAATTAAAGGAAGGGACAAAGCCAAAGCTAGCTAAATAAATCTTTTGGTGATTTAGTAATGGAACTGCCAGGCTTAGCTGGCCAGGGCAGAGACAGCCGCACTCGCCCTTGGACTACATTACACAGCCTACCTTTGTTCCAGGCATTCCAGGGATCCCATCACGGCCATCCACACCAGCCAAGCCCTAAACACACAAAGAAACATACTGTCTCTTACACACAGCCACATTCTTTTTCCCTTCATTATTTTCTACTATTTTATTGCAAGTCAATGATTACTGAAAAATGTGCTTGATGACAACAGCTCAGGACATACCGTGTCTCCTTTGGGCCCAGGGAGACCAGGAATTCCTCTAACACCTTGAGCCCCCTGCAGGGTGGGAGAGAAACAATAGACAAGACATGTTCAGTTATCACAATACTTAGGACTTGTCAAAGAGATCATCATAATCAGCAGATGACACTGAAAAGCAGGAGGCTTGGAGTGACTGAATTTAAACTCACCCTATCTCCTTTGGGACCTACTTCTCCTGGAGGTCCTCGTTGTCCTTGGTCACCCTGTATGAAAATAAAATGTTGTTAATACACATAAAAGTTACTTATTAATCAACTTTTGAGCATTAGAAAGCATCATCCACATGACACAACTGTTGCTCTTCCACCACGATGGCTTTGCTCTATCAAGGAAGCCGAGATAAAGAAATCTTTTTATAAAAATGGTAGTGTCTTAAAAATGGATATTGCCACAGAGATAACTAAGATGTGACCATCTTTTGCTTTCCCCTTAAATGCATTTTGCCCCTGTGCTCTTGCATGTAACATACAATGGATCCATGCATTGGATGCTGACATCAGTAACTACATCTACATATCTGCTAACTTCACTGATTGTTACAGAGGTTTGAGGTTCAGATTAGTTGCCAATTTTTCCCTCACAATTAATCCCCCAGTCAATACTAGTGATTTCTGTCAAAGTTATCTAGCTAGTGTTGACATATGGGACAGGTGGTAATAGATAAGAGGCTGTGTCTTCCTAAAATACAGCTTTTGTTAAGTTGCTTAACCGTTAAAACCTCAAATGGCTCCCTATTGCTACTGGATCTGTTCAAATGGCTCAGGATAGCATTAAACATTCTCTGTATGTAGCTCTACGTTATTCATCCAATCTCATCTTTTCAACCAAACTTTCCAGTCCACGCAGTGACATCCCCTGTGAGAACACACATGCGCCATCACCACTAACAGTGCCAGCCCAGCACTTTGCTGCCTTTCCTGCCCACAGGCTTTCAAACCAACCTCCCCTCAGGTCCTCTTACATGGACTACATCCATCCCATGCTCTAGTGTTTGATTTCGTATAGTTTTTCATTGAGTTACTTTCTATCTTTCCCATTGGAACACAGGACTTTGACAGTTGATTTTCTATCTTTCTTATATCTTTTTCTACTTTTGATGTGGCATAGGCAATTATCCATGGATTTTTTTTTGTTTTTGTTTTTGTTTTTTGTCTATTTCCCTCCCAAAAATAAGCTTGAGGAAACCTACAATAATGACATATGGACATATGACAATCAAAATATGGAATAATGAAGTCAGAAACCATAAAAAATGAAAAAGATAACCAGGCCACAAACTAGAAATGAGATAGTTACTAAGACTCTATGTGTCCTGACAACCAAAGGAAAGGAAAGCACAGCAAACATAAATACTTAACAATTTGGCATAACCTGTGAAGATAAAACATCATATTAAGTCAGCAGAGCATTTCTATGTACCTAAGAAAGATGCCTGTCTTAATTAAAGTTTAAACATATATATATATAAGTTATCCATTTCTCCACTTAATTATTCACATGTAAAGAATACTGCACACACATGCATACATAGCAAAAAAAAACAAAACTATCATTGCGTTTTGTGGAAGGAAAATCACTTACAGATGCACCAGGAATACCCTGAGGCCCAGGTTCACCATCTAAGCCCCGAGCACCCTGCAAAAACACAAGACAATGGAATAAAACTGAGATCAGTCATTTATGTTAGAGAATGCATCCATCTTTCTAAAGAAATTTAATAGCCAGATGAAAAGGAGGTTTTGTGCCTATAATACATACAGTAATCCCTAAGAAGCAATTACTCAGGCACCTGAGGTATAAAACACTTGTTTACACCTATTCAGCATACCAACTGTACTTAAACACAATCTTTGATGCCACTCTATATATTTTAAGTTAATACTGCATCCATTCTCAGTTGCTGATATGAGCTAAAAACACAGGTGCTTATTAATAGATTGGTAAATCTATTAAGTAATTTGGTGGCCACTCTCCAGGGTTCTTAAAATTTCTATAGAAAACCATTAACCAGGCTGGGCACAGTGGCTCACGTCTGTAATCCCAGCACTTTGGGAGGCCGAGGTGGGTAGATCACAAGGTCAAGATATCAAGACCATACTGGCCAACATGGTGAAACCCATCTCCAAAAAAAAAAAAGAAAAGAAAACCATTAACTGCCAGGAAGGCAGATCACATGAAGCCAGGAGTTTGAGACCATGCTGGCCACCATGGCGAAACCAGTCTCTACTAAAAATACAAAAATTAGCTGGGTCTGTTGGCACATGCCTGTAGTCCCAGCTACTCAGGAGGCAGAGGCAGGAGAATCACTTAGACTGGAGAGGAGGAGGTTGCAGTGAGCCGAGAGTGTACCACTGCACTTAAGCCTGGGCAACAGAGAGAGACCCTGTCTCAAAAACACAAAAAAGATGAAGCCACCCTAAGAACAGCTACTACATTCTGTTGCTGCCACAGCTGTGAGAGGAATTTCCAGAACTCTGGATCTCCCATCAAGATCTGGAATAAGAACTCGAGCCATGTGATTCAGAAGAATGAATTGCTGGAAGGACCTGAGCATACCCTCTCCCATCCTGGAGATATTAGGTTCAATTTGTATAAAGTAAAAAACCTATTTTCTCAAGAACAGATCTACTCTACCAAGTGATAAGAATGACTCAGAGCTTTATAAATTGAATTATTTTAAAATAATCTCTGAAGTGGCTAACATACTGTACATTATCACCTCCTTATTTTCATCATGTGAATCAAAATGTGATCTTAAGATCTTAAAAAGTATTTTTAGTGCTCTCTCTATATATGCTACCTGACAAAATATAACCCTTTTCTTTCTTGTTCTTATCTACTAAGTGAATAAAAAGGCATAATGAGGCAGCCTTCTAATAAACTAGGTTGAGATGAGAAGTTGATAAAATAAAAGAAAAACAATCAAGAGTACTGGATAGATGTCAGGCCAAGAAAAACAGGTGGAAAACATCTGTATTAAGAATTAAAAATTAGAAAATCTGACAGAAGGTTCAGAGATAGGTAGAATCAAAGAAATAACACAACTGAAGCAGAAGCACCAGAGCGCCCTGAAATTCTTTGATCCCTAAAAAGAAGGACAGAGCAGAAGGTATTCTACATTCACCAAAGAAGAGATTTGGAAGACCTGACCTTGAATTTATCATTCACCTTGCATTACAAGAACAGAACCCAGCCTTTGCATTATAGAAATGGCTTTGATGCACGTTCTCTCTCTCTTTTATTACTGTTTGGCATGAGCTTAGACCAAAACTGCTGTTACTAGGTAACCACTCCATGGGTCTGAGTTCACAAGAAGAGCTTTTTTTCTTGCTTGCTTGCTTTCTATTTTAAAGCAATTTGACAGAAATCAGAGGAAATGAAAAGTTTTGAAAAATACCAAATAGAAAAATATCTCAAACGAAGAGCATATCAAGAACAGTAATTGGTTTCAAAGTGAGGGGTCACATATTGTAGGGGATGATTTAAATCCAGAAAAAATGAAGGTATCAGCAGCTCGAAAATAAATGGGATCTATTATCAAGTAAAAGAAAAGATACACACTGAATGTTGCTTAAGGTAACAAATATAGAAATATGAATGCATCTAATATGTTTTATAAACACAGAGTTTTCAGAAAAGAAATATTGATTGAAAAGATGGAGAAGGAAAGCAGGTAAAATGAAAATACCTAGAAGGGACGAAGAGCCTGGGGAAAAAACATGAAACTAACAGGAAAAAAAATGATAAATAAGCTTGATCATTTACTGAAGATTCACCAAGCTGTGCATCTCTTTTTTAAAAAGAAAAATTTCATTTCATTTATTGAACATGTACACTATGCAACATCTTGTTACTTAACTGTTAATAAGTCTCTGTGCTGCTGGTGGAACTGACACCAATTAGCCACAGACGTTATCAAGAGAATGAGATCAGGGTCAGAAGTGATGGTGAGCAAAGATGCTTTTTGTATTTTCTGAAGCCTATAAATTAACTTTCCTAACATTCTTTCCAAGAAGTGGTAACCATTTTCTTAAAATCTGATAGAGAGGCAAAACACACTCCTATACACATGCCAAGAAAAACACTTCTGAATACATCATGAATGTTCAGGTTTCCACTGTTTTTCCTTATGATAATCACTCAGCCAAGCATTACCTGTCCTTCATTCTTCACCAGTGGCAACACCTCATCCTTCCAGGCTCCACATCCTTCTAATGCCACCTCCTTCATGGACTTCTCAGTTTCCCTATCAAGATTAGCCCCGCTTCCTCTGCACTCCATCATAATGTTGGCCCTCAGATTCATGTCTCTTTTGCTTGCATTATAGTTGACTATCTATTTATTTGTCTTGCCCAATTAATAACTGACTTAATCAAGGTCTTATTCCCCTTGGAATCTCCCCAGCAGCTTGCAGAGTGCCTTGGTATGGAAGTGCTGGGAGAATCTGGTTTCTGAGACTGGGCTAAGGGCAGGCTGATATCCTCTAGCCATAAGTGTATAACCCCTGCTGAGGGCAGGACTCATGGATCAGCTTTCAGGTGAGTCACAGGGGCCTCCATTGTCTTTGGGGTTTCCTGCCTTGGTCACCTCTCCTTTTCCATCCTCCCTGTCTTTGCCTTGCCTGACCAGAAGCACTCCAGGCACTGTGCCAGTGTTATCAGTGCTAACCACTGATCATGACAATGAAGTAAAATGTAACAACTCTATTTACTCTACTCAATATAATTGAAAATAGATTAATACATGGCAAATGTCATGCATACTGCTCATTCCTATAATCTGTGCTTACAATAGAAATGTGAAAACCTAATCACACACCTACAAAGCATCAATAAAATGTCATGTTGTTAGACCAGGCTCGGTGGCTCAGGCCTGTAATCCCAGAGCTTTGGGAGGCCAAGGTGGCTGGATTACCTGAGGTCTGAAGTTCAGGACCAGCCTGGCCAACATGGTGAAACCCAGTCTCTACTAAAAATACAAAAATTAGCCAGGTGTGGTGGCAGGTACCTGTAATCCCAGCTACTCAGAAGGCTGAGGCAGGAGAATTATTTGAACCCAGGAGGCAGAGGTTGCAGTGAGCCAAGATTGTGTCATTGCACTCTAGCCTGAGCAACAAGAGTGAAACTCCATCTCAAAAAAAAAAATTTTGTTGAAGATAAAAAGTTATTTTTTAATAGCCAAAAGTTAAATATTTAACACATTTTGATATTATATTATTGTCATCACCATCTTACTTTTTCCCCTTTGTCCCCAACTATGCCAGTGATGCCTCGCAAACCCTGGGCTCCCTGGAAATGTAAAAAAGAAAAGTGAATTATTTTAGTTGAAGCAAAGATTTTTAAAAATCTCATCACAAAAGCTGATCTAGAAAATGGATATTATCATAACCAAAGGTAATACTAAGAAATAGTGACAATATATAAACATTTCTAGTTTAGAAAGTCCATGGAGAATTCTTCTGATGGTAAACCGTTTTATAAAATTCTGAAATCTTACACAAAACTGGAGTTGACACAATCACTCATGACAAAAAAGTAAATAGCAGCATAAGAGAAATTGTGATAATATGTTTGACTTACCTTTTAACTTATATATAGAACTTACACCATCATTCCCACTTCCTTCATGGCATGTAACTTGGTTACATGTAACATGATTTTAAACCTTGAAAGAATTTTTTTCCCACCAGTGGACACCATCAAAAGCAATAGGTTCTCAGGCTAGCCCACAAAGCCTATAACCTAGAAAGGAGCTGGAGCCTCCAACAATTCCTTGTAGTCACTACTCATTACACCATTCTTATGATGAAAGGCATTCTGAATTTCAACTTGGTAAAACAGGAACCCATCTTAGGCATAAGAGTGGCTAATCATAAAACTTTCTCTTTCAATACTGAAAGGTTACCATTCTGGACTCTTCTGGCCCCATACTATGAGGGCTCCAGAAATGGATCCTGGAAGGAGTGAGCCTAAGATTACCCTTGGAAGCAGAGGAGGGTGGATGCTCCATTAGGAAAGTAGGAGTAGCTACTTTTGGACAAACTGCTAACTGTACCCACTGGCTTAAGATAAAGGAACTCTAGGCCAGTCATTTCCCTCTTCTTTTCACTTGGAGAAAATGGGGCAAGTCCATGACCAACTCTTCATTCAGACCAGTCACAAATTCTATGTAGATCAGTCAGGAATGACCTGCAATTCAAATATGCAGAATGACCCAGTCTAGGATATCCATTTAGAATATTGAGTGAGATGTGGCCATGTCAGATGAAAGCTGCTCTTTCTGATGGAGCTCATTTACTGACCCTAAGGTTATTTCTACAAAATGAAATATTTAGGTCAATAGCAATGACACAAGAATACCACATATTGTCTCTTGAGGTGCCTACTTTAAAGAACAGAGCTTTGTCTAAATATTCCAAGAAGCATATTTTTAAAAGTTGTAACAACTTTGTTTTAATGTAATACAAAAGTAATGCAAATTCTGATTTGACAACATTTGAAATTGAAGTTTGATGATGCCCCAAGTCACCTTACTTTGTATTTGTGCATGTACACTTAAAAAGTACATGCTTTTAACATTTGGCATACCTATTCCCAGATACCAGAATGTCATCAAGCACTAACAGGTATCCCCCAGTGGACCACTTGAGCCATGCAGCACCCAGCATAGATTTTTAATCCCTGAAAGCACAGTTTTAGAATGTTGTTTGCAAAATCCTGTTTTGAAAATCTTTGGGAATGGCTTCAAAAAAAAACAAGCTTTAAATTCCTACCAAATTTTCATCAGATAAAAAAAAAATATGGCATATGTCTCTTACACCATATATCACTATCTCACACCTGCAAGACAGAGTTCAGCTCCTAGTGTCTCATGTGGCAAACACTCAAGGGAGGGCAAACTTCTGAAACAAAACACCCCTGGACACAAACAGATCCCTGAAAGTTCTCATGTAACTTAAAAGCAGAGATGATTTCTCCCAGATCCTCTGACTTACTTCCTTTAGCTTAATTTCTCTTAAACTTTAAATTCCTTAAACATTAATCTGCGCAGCTCCCTGAACCCTTTTTAAACAGCCAGTCCTGTGGAGAAGAGCAGAGCAGGTGAAGGGTGTTCTTGTGTTTGTCTTCTTTAACTGTTCAATTTCTAAGAATAATACCTGACCTCATCTTTTACATAGTCTATACTCTGGCTAGCTGCAATTTACTTAATATTCTTTGATTATTATTTCCAAAATTGTCATTACTCATTTTAATAAGAAAAAAGTGTAACAACATCATTTTAATGTAATACAAAAGTAATGCAAATTCTGATTTGACAACATTTCAAATTGAAGTTTGATGATGCCCCAAATCACCTTACTGTGAATATTATAGCAGAAATCTGGGAAAGCACAAGGGACTAACTTTTTATTAAAAGACATGATTATGAGCAGTTAAGAATGTTTTAGTTAATTATAATGATTACATACTTAAGCTACATTAATCCAATAAATGATATGCCTACTGCATATTTAGAATATACAAAATTTTCTCATTATATCATGCAATAATACAATAGAACATAAAAGATACGTATCATCCTCTTGTGCTTAGTATTTGCTTTTCAATTGCCCGGCCCTGAAACCTCGTAGGTGAATGTATATAGTTATAGGTAGAGTTTTACTGTTAAAAAAAAAAAGTTCTAGAATATATAATGAGGACCCTCTCCTATTTTGAAAAAGTAGTTATTGTAGTTATCCTCCAATGCTGGCATGGTGGAAAAATACAGGACACCAAGTTCACGTAATGCTATTCATTCAACTGCTAAATAGAAAATATTCCAACTGTCATGAAAAAAAAAAAGAATTCACATAACCTAGTTAAATATTTTTTAAAAAATACTTTACTGGAGGTCCTTGAGCTCCGACTTCTCCCAGTTCTCCCTGGTCACCTTCTTCACCCTAAAAAAACAGCAGAGAAAAGCACACCAAATGTTATTTTAGCAAATGAACATAGAAATAGTCTTGGTCTAACTCAGTGTGTTTTAAGTTCACTTGGTGACTCCTGGGTTATTCTACTTTCCTAAATTATTTTATATGGGTATTCCAAAGTAATTGTAGAACATTTAGAAAATACAGAGAAGTATACATGTAAAAAGTCACCCAAATCCCACCATTTAACTATAAATACCAGTAACATTTAAATGTTATCCTTTCAAAGTTTTTCTAAAGTGGAAGAAGGAGGAAGAGAGACAAAGATACAAAGAAAAAGAGAGAGACAGAGAGAGAGTAAAGGTACTCGTTGATGTTCCAAGTGTGTGTCAAGTGGGGGAGGATGTATTACTAGAAAAAAATTTAATTATACTATGAAAACATTTTCATAGGCCACAATATTTTTTCATGATAATTTTCATTTTAGCATTTCTTATAATTTTTGCACCATATACAGTATTTTAATCCAAATCAGTCATTTATTTCATGGGTTATACCTTTGATGTCACTCATAGAAAAGCCTTTTCCACTCCAAAAATACACATTTATTTATATTTTTGCTTTAGTAATGTTATAACTTCTTACATAGAAATCTTTAATTATCAGTAATTTGTTTTGACGTAAAACAAAACATAGAAACCTTTTTTCTTTTTTTCTCAGTAATTGGCCACCGTTCCAATAATAGATATTCTCCACAAAGGTTTCAAAATTCATCCTAACATATACTAAATGGTATTGGCTCTAGACTTTGCTTCTGCTCTACTGATGATGTATGATTGTTGCCAATATCAAAACATGTTAATTACTAAAATTCTATAGTATATTTTACTCTCCAATAAGGAGAATTCCCTTATCTTTATTTTTCATTTATAGTTACTCTTATATTTTCGATTTCCCTAAATGTTTACTCTTCCAAATAAACTTAGAATCATTGGGCAGATCTTTACAGAGACTGCTTGCTTTGTACTAGGATTGCATTAAATTAATAGATTAATATGGCAAGAATTAAAATCTTGACAATATGGAAATCATTTATCTTGATTTTTAAAACAAATTATGAGAGTTGTACATATTGGTTTTAGCCACATAATTATATTCAGATTATATTTCATTAGAGTCTATGACTGACATTGGGAAGAGGCAGTCCCAATGGGAAAGCCAGAGAATTAGCTAGTTCTTGGCGTGGAAATTGATATGTCTACTGCAATTTTTCCATAACAAGGTACAGGGTATTTTCCATAGATTCTCCATAAACTTTGGAGTAATATATTTCAATTGTTTCACCTACAGGTGAAAACCACAGAACTAATTAATAATCATGAAGTCAAATGACAAATTTATGAGTAGCAACTTACCATTTCACTGAATTTTGCATAAGTACTGATCCACTGTAGAATGGTGCCAATACCATGACATTTTAATTGAAATTTTACTGTTCATTCCTATATTCATGAACAGTTTTTCTAAATCTTCATTAACTAAATTGTAGGGTAAAATTCAAGACAAATTTGTGAATCTGAATCCAAACTTGAGGCCTCCAAGCTCTTACCATTCTGTTTCCAGTTTCAGTTCAGTCTATCTGCTCACCCTTTCAAGTTTCATTCTGCAATGAACTATGACCATTCTATCGATTTTCAAAGACATCATCACTTATGCTTTTAAGTGCCACAAAAACATGAAATAAATTAGAGAAATTTTCAACAACTTTCAAAGTAAATTTTGACCAATTACTTGACATACCAAAAAAAATTATAGGTTTCCCACTGAAGACCAAACCAAATTTTAGAGTCTTGATAATTAACTTGTTTAAATACCAAAAAGACTAGCTTCATGGTAAAGTGGAGGGGCACCTGTATTAACATCTCTATCTCCAAATCCTGTGGGATGGGGGAGTGAAAGTTCCCCAAAGGAAAGCATCACCAAGAGAAGGAGAAAGAGATACAAACATCAAAAATACCAGAAGTCTACTACATTTGCTTTACTGCATAGAATACCTCATGAATATCTTTTGATATAATTTAATATTTGTACACACCTATTTTTTGTAGTTAACTAATATTCTATTATTATATTGCTATAACATATTTAATTTAGTCCCCTGTGCTTGGACCTATTTTTTTTTTACTTCTGTGTCCCCCATACTCAGAATAACCCCAGCACATAGAAGGTACTTTATATTTGTCAAAATTTTTAATGAAAATTTTTAAGATTCAGTAGAAGAGTGATCACACAGAAAAATTTCCGTGGCACTTGTTTTTTTTCTATGTTCCCCAATTTGATATCAGGAACCCAGCTGTTATGTTTCAAATAAATAAAATGCCTTAACTATCACAGCCTATGCAATAAGAGACTTTCAAAATAAATGTCCAAACTGAAACAGGGTAGAGAAAATTGGTCTATTTATCCTGATTATTTGAGGTTATTTAACAGACTGATTTTAGCTAAGAAGTTCAAGGATATTATCCCTGAAGACATTGATAAATTGTCTCTCAAGTTCTTGACTTCCAAAGGGAAACAAACTAATCTTCTGTCACTACCCAATAAAGGGGTAGAAAGACATAGTCAAAAAAAGTCAAGAGGACCTGCACTAATAAGAACTTGACTTTGTAAAATATTATCAAATTTACTGAGACAAAACCTACTATGCAGTAAGTCAAATTCTTAGATACTTAAAGATGACTTGCACTAATGAATGAAAAAAAGGGCAAATAGGTTATCTTGCTTTAAATCCCAGCCTTGGTTTTTCTGCAGGGCATGCCAGCTGCAATGCAAATTGTGCTGTGGATTCTATTTCTATCCAGATACTAATATGAGTTATTACTAACCTCCAGCTTACTCCAAATCTAGGTTATATTGAAATGAGGTCAGAAATAAATAGATAAATTATTTCAGAACTTGAGATGAGAAGCAATAAGCCAATTACCAACTTCTCTGTTTGTTAGTCTCAGCAACACTTGTCATAAAATTTTACAAATGTCATAAAATTTTGTCTGGTGAAGTGGAACAACTATCTGGATAATGTTGGATTATCACAGCATCATGGAAAAAAGCTGAGTGTGATTGATTTGAAAAGAAAAGATAGTGACAGAAAAAAATGAAAATGCCTGATGCTTTATTTGTAAGAGTGTTTTGTAACTGACAACTTTAGAATATGATATTTAGTCAGATATTGATGCATCCAATTAGAACTTGTTAATTATTTGAAAAAGAAGGGTAAAATGTCATGGTTCATTATTTCCTATGATTCCTAATTTCTCATAATGAACGTGATCACTAACTCCTAATCACAATTTATTCACTAAATACTCATTTTCCTTACCTTGTGTCCTTGTCTTCCTGGTTCACCAATTTCTCCTTTAGCCCCTTTATGACCCTAACAGATGCAAAATAAATAAACATTAATATATGTATATATGTGTATGTGTACACACACACATAGATAGATAGATAGATAGATAGATAGATAGATAGATAGATAGATAGATAAATAGATAGATAGATGTAATTGTCCTGAGTTTGGTACAGAAAGAAGGCTCATAAAGTGATCCTTCTTCCCTAAATCAGTGCCAATGTGTTACTAGAAATGGATTATGTCACAAAGAAAATTCGTGCCTTAAATTACCTTAACAGCACAATGTATATTACATGACTGCCATATATAATTAATATCAATTTTAGTTAATAGAAAAACACTTCTCTAGAATAACAAACACTTCATTATCTAGTTCAGCAATTTGATTCACTGATACTTGCTTGCTATTTTCTGGATCCCTATTTCCCCAACTTTCTCACACAGGTTAGGAGCATTCAGTCTTCTCTAGTTCCAGTAACTTAACCTTTCAGAAGTGACAGTCCTGACCAAGCTCAGCTGGCTATCCCCTGTTCTCTGAAGGCTGCTCTGAAAACCCTTTGGCCTCTTCCATTCCCACCTCCTTCCTGCAGATGGAGGAAGAGCTGGTGTAAGTGGATGTTCTCTGCTGTACAACCTTCTGCCTCTTTCTGTGTACAATTTTTAAGTGCAAAGGGAAAGCAATAAAGGGCAGTGAGTGAAAGCTGCATTGTATGAAAAGAAGATCCCTGTCTTTTCTTATCAGGCCACTTGTCCTAAGCATTTGATTGCTTTCTGTAGTTAACAGGAGACAAAACTGTGAGATAAGCATTCCAAAATGAAGACTGTCAGAACTTTCACCCCTGAAAGAAGTCTTTTTGAAAAATAGGACACCAGTCCAGGCCCAAATCTTCTGCAGTTGAGGAAACCCACCAAAACTACCGTTAGAAGAAACCTAATGGAAAACCAGTGCCTTGGGGCCTTCCGGATCATAGCAGAGCACTATTGGTTTGGAATTTCTCAAAATCTCTTTAGACTCAGAGACTAGAGAGAGAAAAGGCAATTTATCCCCATAATTTGGTATTTATTTTTTGTTTGTATGAAAAATTTTGAAAGAATTACAGTGACAGACAGAAAAATGCTTTTGGAAAGTCTCTTTTTCCTATTTTGCACAGTTTTTCAAAATTTTTTAAACTAAAAGTTATCAAATACATTATGTACACAACCCCCCCCACTACCCCTACCACTATTACCACTATCTTCCTTAATAGAAAGCACTGTGTGTGTGTGTGTGTGTGTGTGTGTGTGTGAGAGAGAGAGAGAGAGAGAGAGAGACAAGGTCTCTCTCCACTACCCAGGCTGGAGTGCAGTGGCACAATCACAGTTCATTGCAACCTTGACTTCTCCAGCTGAAGTGATCCTCCCACCTCAGCCTCCCAAGTAGCCAGGTCTACAAGTACACACCACCACGCCTAGCTAATATTTTATTTTTTATAGAGACGGGTCTCCCTCTGTTGTCCAAGCTGGTCTTGAACTCCTGGGTTCAAGTGATCCTCCCACCTTGGTCTCCCAAAGTTCTAGGATTACAGGCGTGAGCCACTACGCCCAGCCAGGAAGGAAACTTCTGAATCTTAATTTGGTGTTTTAAAGTATCTCAATCCAATGTATTTTATTGGTATTTCTTCCCTGAACTAGAAAGGCAGCTTATGATTAAACATGCATGTGTTGTTATGAAAACGTGTCAGGGCCAGCTGGAGTCTCTAGGACTGAATAACCACTACTTGCCTGATCCATCCAAGTGAGGTCTCTGCACTGGGGAGGCTAATGCTTAAAGTAAAGGCTCCATTTAATCTGGGGATAATATTCTTAAAGATAAAATACCGGACGTTATTCTCTTACCCTCATGCCTGGTAGGCCTGGATATCCTGAGCGACCTGGTGGACAGGAATTGGGACACTGCCAGGGAGAGAGGAAACAGGGAGAAAGACATGCAGAGTGCATAAACCAGGGCTCCTGCTTTGTGACAAAGTCTTTTTTAAGGGGATTCCAGTTACAGAACTCCATTGCGATTATATTCATTAAATAATTCAAAATATCCCTTTCCTTTTTTATTATTTCACTTTTAAACCCAGACATATTTCTAGCTAACAGAATAGTGTAGAGAATATAACAAATATCCTCCCATGAATCTACCATCCAGATTAAATTAATGTTAATATTTTGCAATTTTTATTTCAAATCTAATTTATTAAAGAAAATGTATTTACAGATAACCTATTGTACTATGTCCGGATTTATTTCCCCTTCTCATTCCACTGGACTAGCCCCATCCTGAGGCTCATGTCTCCCATCAAATGGTCCTACATGGCATTTAGTGCACATTATCACTATCACTGGAGTGTTAATCTATGAGTAAAACAAATCCTAAAGGAATTTACTTGAATTTTATCTCTTTAAAACCTGGATGCTCTAGTGAAAAGCATGCCTTAGTCATAATGTAAAAAGATTATAGAAAAACAAAGATAATATCTATAATGAAACATTATTAGTCTGAGTAGATGAAAGCCACCAGTCCACTAGTGTTACAGACTGCTCTGCCATCTGAGTAAAAGGAAAACATGGACACATAGTATATTCCAGGGAGATCTTTTAAAGAAAACTCATCTGCAGACTATATGGTCTTTGAATTGAAACTATATTTTGATCAACGGAAAGCCTCTTACCAGCGGATCTCCATCATGAAAGCCAATTGTTCCCTAAAGTAAATAAAATATTAAAGTTGAGAATATAATTAAATAATGAATTCAAACATACTAATAATAGAAATATAATCAGCAAAAATATAAGATATATTTGTTTAAAAAAATATAAAAAACAAATAGGAGCAGATAATATGCTAATATTCTAAAATCCTGATTCATGGGCATGTTCTTTTTGGAGAACCATAAATTGCAGTAGATTATTTTGGGAAGACATTGAGGGAAATGAAATAAGAGGAACTCTGAATTATAAATTACAAATATGAATTACCTTCTATTTAAACTCCTATTGTTACAATTTTTCTTACTAGGAAAATCTTTGTAAAAACTAGTTTATTTGAAAATGCTTCATTTATATACAAGTTTTGAGCATTTGAGACATCACAACTGTCTAAGGACTTCACAGTAATGAGTAAGACTTGCCCTATAAAAACCACCTTTTAAATTATTGTGATTCCTTTACTTTTTGGCCTAAAAAGAATCATGCCCTGGGTGGATGAAGAAATTGATAGCCATTTTGGAAATTTGGGATAATTAGTTAATAAGAACTTCCATTTTGGGTTCTTAGATTTTTTTCAACCTTGACTCTCAGACATAAAAAGAAATTCAAGCTGCAAATAACTTACACTGGGTCCTGGGGGTCCAGGGGGTCCAGGTGGTCCTCTTCTCCCAGGGTCACCCTAAGTTATTTGAAAATTGTGACATAGTGGTTATACATGTGTCTCAACACAGTACATAAAACCAGTGAGGCATGAAAGAATGGTACTACTGGAAACCCCTGCTGAGCTCAGCCATGCATAGACCTGCTGCCAAAATCAATGGGTGACACATAATCCAATTAGTTCTACAAAATGAGAATAATAAAGGCATTCCAGTCTCACTGAGGTAATAAAACAAGTCAGAGAAAGGCTAGGGGGAAAAGCAAAGCCAATTCTTCTCTACAGGACAAACATTTTATCTACTCTGCAAACAAACTGGAAATACTACTTATTTTTCTAGTTGATTTACAGAGGACCCAGAGCAACCAATACTGCTAGTGCCATCCGGCTAATCAGCGCAGAAGAAGGCTTTCACTCAGTCTGAAGCTGTGAAATGAAGGTTAATCTCTGCAGTGCCTGACTCTTGCTAGTGCTGTTCACCCACAATCTATCACTTAGTCTGTCACTGTACTCTCTTGCAATGGGTCAGAAAATCAAAAAAGACTACATTGAAGTAAACCATTCAGATGGAAATGGGTTCCAATTACTCTTAACATCCAATGTTTACTCTTGGCATGTTTTCCTTCTTGATGTTCTGCCATAAAAAGTCGGAAGCATCTTACAATTATTTTAACTTTACAATCATTTTGTATTTATTCATTTGTTCACGAAATAAATTTCCAAACAGTAAACACATGTAGAGGAACAAACAAGATATATGATACATGACTCCTTCACATAGTGAGTTTACAATCAATCACCCACCTTCACGTAACATCGCTATGTCAATGTTTTTGAAATGTTTACTTAATATCAATATGAGCCATTTTATATGAGATTTTTTATGAAGTCCAGCTCTTTAATGTTAAAAGTTAAATTTTGTTGACTGAATTATAGTTTAATGATCCTAACATAAATATACACGGTAATAATTTAAGCTATTTCCTTTTATTTCATGCGGAGAGTCTAATACAAAAGCCACTAGACTCTAGTCCTGGCTGAGAGTGTGTAAAATGAGGATGACACTCCCTTACTTGACAATCTAGAAGTTGAGAAGAAAAGTTTAGCTGAACACTTTAGGTAAAAATTTAAATCACTCTGCAAAAATTGTTATTATTCCTCACATCAATATTACAAACTGGAATGAAATTCATCTGCCATGTTTTAGATTGCAAGTGGAAATGTACAGTTAGGACAATTTGCTTTCCCAAGTAACATCTTCTATTAAATCAGCAAAGGTCTATCAAAATGCACTGTGATACTCACAACAGGTCCTACACGGCCAAGCTCTCCAGGGAGTCCTGTTGTCCCAGGAGGACCCTGAAGTCAACAAATAAAAGCAAATGGTCATTTATGAATATTTTTACAATCTATCATACATGATATTAAATATAATAAATAATAGAATTATATTTCGGTATTAGCTTCGGTTTCCAATGAGACAATAACTCATTTGACCAACCTTAATCACTTAAGATAAAACAGAAATTTCCTAAATTAACAAATACTTTGTTTAGCAGAATAAGGGTGTTATCCTTAGTTAGCCACCTAAGGTCTTGTAGACAGAATGCTATAAACACCACTGAGTAGACTGCTAGTAGAAAAGTAAGGTGGGAATTTGAGAAATAGGACATTTTTATAGATTGTGTAAAATAAATGATGAAATGATACTTACAGGGGGTCCAGGAATACCACGGCCCTAAAAGAGTACAATAAAAATGTTTATAGCATGAGGTTTATACTTAGTATAAATATGAACATAGACATAACTCAGTTAAACCGTAAATCCTTACTAAAAATGATGCTTATTCTAAAGAAAGCACTGGATAAAGAAAAGCAAACATGGCTCTGCTTCTAAAGAAAGCAGAAGCTTATTTCAGCTCCACAAACATTCCTTTGATATCTATGCTAACTGGTATTTTTCCAAATTTTTTTTTAAGGAAATCAAAGTAAAGAAGCCATCCATGCTTGCCCTCAGGAGAACTTACCATCACTCACCAAGGGGTGCGTTACAACTGGAGAGTTTAAAGACCATTCATTTGTAGCATTTTATATGAAACCTATATTAAATGCATTCCAGTTTTACAAACTTTAAAAAATTATGTTTAGAAGTTCCCCAAACTAACACCTAGCACAGAGAGGCAGGGACAAAAAAGGATCAGAAATACAACTCCCTTTCAAAAGATTGGGCTATATTTTCAGACACTAAATCCAGTAGATATTGAATATAAAATGGTGTCGCTCCTGAAGTAACCTACAATGGGAAACTAATTTAATATATTTTATTTTAAACTAGTCATTCTATTTCCTTATTTACATTTATATCTCTTTAGCAACACCACACTTTATATGATCAAGGATTGAACCACAACGTATTCATCTTCCTATCCCAACTCCAACTTCCTATCCTATACGGCCTAGTATATAACAAAACTTAATAATATGCTTGTTGAAATTAAAACTGAATATCAGCTTCCTAGATCTCTATTCTCTCTCTTTAATTTCCAAGTTCAATTTTTTTCCCCTGTGACTTCTCATTATTCTTTTCTCTCCTACATTGGCTAGGACAGCTTTTATTCACAGCTGTCTGTGATACAATATTCATGTTAGCTTTTCACTCCAGACTTGCTTTTCTAAAATATCCATATACCAAGCATCCCATGGAATCAATGCACTGATAATGATATTATTATTTCTTATTAGTTGAGCTGGCAAAACAAGCAAGAATTTCACACAGACAGTATGTTTTGATAATCAGTGGGAATTTTAAAAGGCATTCTTGGGAAAATGACTCCCGTTTGAACACTTTAATACATAGGTTAATTCAGGAAATAAGTGTTATGCTTGAGAGCACCAAAGTAATCAGCAAGTTATTTCATTATCAGAAATGCAGATGTTCAACAAATTTCACTAAACAAAAAAGGCATCTCTATAAGATGTTGAGATTAAGAGCTGAGTTGAAAAACCTGGGAGAAAGGTCAGCAAGCTGTTCACTTCTGAAAATAGACTTATAATGGAAAAGTTGACATGCTGAAAGATGGCAAAGAAAATAGCACAAATAGGAAAAAGGAAGAAAAAATACAGATTAATGACAAGAGTAAAAGTGGAACAAAGAGCAAAATAGATAGGAAAGCAGCCTAAGAACCTAGTCCTCATATACACAAATAATACACGCCTGTGACACTGAGTAAATGGAGAAAAAGACTGTCCAGAGAGTCAGGCAAGTGATAATATCTGATTAGTTGATATTTCATTAGAGATAAAACCAGTTGTGAAGAATGTGGTGTGATACTATGGTCTAAAGATTGAATATCTAGATTTGCAGCTGTTATGCAAGTAGTGTTTTTTATCATTGCAGGTAAAGAGGAAATTGTCTATTGTGAAATATTGCCTGCAAATAGAACATACATTTTCAACTTACATTCAGATTTCTCTAAAATTTTTCCATACACAGTAGGAATGCTTACCATACCAGATGTCATCAACTTACTTGTCATGTATATTATGCAGAAAACTGCATTTAAAAAATTTCATAATGGCAGAATTTTACCTAAAGATAGGAAATTTTCAGTTCTGTAGCTATACATTTACTTACTGGAAATCCACGAGAGCCAGGCACACCAGGTTCTCCCTAAAAATAAAAATAGTTCATTTGTACTGACCTTTCATAGCATGAATATATAGACATGAAGACTGCATAAATATTGAAACCATTTAAACACCCCATTAGGTTTTTTTTTTAGTTTCCAACTTTAATTTAAAGTTCAGGGGTCCCTGTGCAGGATGTGCAGGTTTGTTACATAGGTTAACATGTACCGTGGAGGTTTGCTGCACAGATCATCCCATCACCCAGGTATTAAGACCAGCATTCATTAGCTATTCTTCCTGATGCTCTTCTTCCTCCCACCCCCTATTTTTCAACAAGCCCCAGTGTGTGTTGTTTCCTCCATGTGTCCAAGAGTTCTCTTTATTCAGCTTCCACTTATAAGTGGGAACATGCAGTATTTGATTTTCTGTTCCAGCATTAGTTTGCTGAAAATAATGGCTTCCAGCTCCATCCATGTCGCTGTAAAGGAATTGATCTTGTTTCTTTTTATGGCCGCATAGTATTCAATATCATGGTGTTTTTAAACACAATTTTAGTTGAACAAGTGTATTTTAGATGCTTCCTAACTTAGTTGGCTTGCAAACCCTACAATAAAATTATGCTTCAGCATTTCACACCAGCAATTAATACAAGATGGCTAACTTACTTTTTGTCCCTTTGGTCCAACAGAGCCAGGGGATCCATCAGGTCCTGTTAATCCCTAACAGAGCAAGACAATCATGTTAGAACCATCATAATATCCTTAGGCAAACCACTAGGTGGAAAACTTTCATTTTATTTATTAATAATCTATAGGATGGTTATATATGTATGATGCAAATATTGATAAAGAAGTACCTTCCTAGATTCTAACTCAAAAGTGAAGATTAACTTAAGGTTTGCCTGTTGTGGTTATTTTTTCTTGATAAATTGTATCATATTTCTAGCTTCCTGCTAACTGCACTGTTTATCACAGGGTTCAGTAATTTAGTGCTTTTTGTCTCTGCTTTGAAAAAAAATGCAACATAGCAATTACAATGTTGTATTAGCTAAAACTAGTGGGTCTTGGCTCTGCCATTCACTCAGGTTTATTTACCTCCTTTACTTCATTTATGAAACAAAAATACTACGTATCTCTCTACAGGACAATATCTCTTTCTAACTGTATGACCACAATGTCTTGCAAGTCAATAAAATATTTCCTCAATAAGAATTAAACACAATCTAATTATTACCTTACAGCCACTAACAGCCCCCTAGGCCATGAGGACAATGTCTTGGAAGTCATTAAAGTATTTCCTCAATAAGAAACACAAAAATCTCATTATTGCCTTATAGCCACTAACAGCCCCCTACCCATCTTCTAGCAATGACAGTTGCTTATCAAAGAATATTAATTTTTAAAGTAGAAACATTTGAAGCATGCACATTTCTACATTATTTTTCTTGTAAAAATAGCTATAATTAAGTATATATATTCATGTATGCCACTCGGTATGTAAAATTTAAGCCTTTTATTATAAACCACATTTCTAATTATCACATTTAATACTAAAGCAGTTATTAAATACATATTCTAAACATTATCATTTTCCCTTATAGTACTTACTTTATCATTATCCTCCATATAAAACACATATTAAAGAATAACAATATCACATGTATACAAGAATTCCATATTTGGTAAAGATACATTTCTATTTTTAATTTTTTCTTTGCTCTTTGACACTTTCAGATGCTGTCATTTACTATGTAATCTTGAAATTATACCTTTTTAAATATAAACATGATATATATGTGTGTACGTATACACACATGACTATGTAAGTGTCTTACAAACTCTATTTTCAAGATTTTGAAGACCCAAATGATATTAATTGAGAGATGGATCTCTTGAAAAATATGAAAGCCCTACTTAAAAATTAATCACCAAAATTTATATTTAGTCTGTCATGGTCTGAAATAAATACAATAAAATTCCTTCACATAATTCACATAGAAAACTGGTTCATTGGCTACCATTTTTATATTTCTCTACATTAATTAATTTTCCTAACAATGTCACAGAGTGAATCAAAGGAAGTAGAAAAAAAATGAGTTGAAAATGTTAATTACTGGAAATTTACCAAAGAAGAAAAGTATTAAACCCACACAAAAAAGAATTTCTGACAGACTGCCTTTGATTTTCAAGAGCCCTAGTCTAATGACAACACTAATTTGGGAACAAGCCTCAACATGATTAGTTGCTAAGCACCTATGGTAATGAAATGTTTGCTTTGGTATTTCACAAACAAACCATACATCCAGGAGCGCTCTGGACACACATATGGCATGTAAATTTTATAAACCTCTGGGCATATTTAACTAATGGATCCTCTAACTCCCACTTAATGCATAAACCCTCCAAGACCAATTCTGGTCAATTTTCAAACACACAATCAACTAATACTCTTCAACCTATGACTAGAATAACTGAGAAGATTGGAGAATAGTAACTATAAAGCAGAAGCAAGTAAATGATTGGATAACCTGAAGGCTGTTTTCAGGTTCTTCATATTTAAAATATCCTCCATAGGCTGGGCGTGGTGGCTCAAGCCTGTAATCCCAGCACTTTGGGAGACTGAGGTTGGATCATGAGGTCAAGAGTTCGAGACCATCCTGGTCAACATGATGAAACCCTGTCTCTACTAAAGACACAACAATTAGCTGGGCGTGGTGACACATGCCTGTAGTCCCAGCTACTTGGGAGGCTGAGGCAGGAGAATCGCTTGAACCCGGGAGGCAGAGGTTGCAGTGAGCTGAGATCGTGCCACCACACTCCAACCTGGTGACAGAGCAGGACTGTATCAAAAAAAAAAAATCCTCCATAAGAAATGATAAATTATGTCAATCACTGGAAAGTTCTTTGAACTAAGTTGAAAATGGATTCTGGTGTCAGATGTTACAGTGATGCCTGTTACAAAATAACTATGCAGAAAACCATAAGCTCCCTGAGGACAAGAATCACATGTCCTTTACAGTCCTAACATGTTGCCGTGGTGTCTAACCACTCAAGATGTGGATTACCATATACAACAAATTTAAGGAATCCTTCTAGGTGGAGAGATATTACACTTGTTCCTCCACATCATCTTTATATTCAGCTCAAATCCTGATCCTACCACTTAGCAGCTGTGAATCATGGGCAAGGTGCCTAACTGCACAATGTTCTAGATGCTGTTCCTCATTGAGAAAAGGTCCTGCAAACAAGCAAGCAAACCAAAATCTAGGTATTAACCACCGCACTGTACTTCTGGGTCTCATCACATTTTCTCAGTGCCTGAATATTTGTACCTAGACTGACCTTTCAGAATAATTTCTTAATAACTCCCAATCCTAGTTGTAAAACATCTGCCACAGATATAGTTGTATACATTCAGAGAATACAAAGCACCTAGCCTCTTCCTGTAAAAATTGTCACAGTTTAGCTATAATTCTTATACTTTATTCTAATTCCTCTTCTTATCTCATATGGATGTTATAAGAAAGAATAAAATACTGTTTTTAAAAATCTGAGTATGTCACAACAAATTGTACATATGAAAATATGTATTAATTAACCTATTAATATAATTGCTGAAAACAGCACAATTGTCCTAAGGTTAGAACCAAGTTCTGGCTTCTCTAATTTTACATATCCATAAGCCAAAAAATAAAAATAAAAAATCAACTTAACCTGAAAAAAGAACAGATTTGAATTGAAATACACAGACCACACTCATAACACATACATAATTTTCAAAATCCAATTTGCAATAAGACCCTCATTCCTATTTCAAAGACATAAAAGAAAACATTACCAGTAGCAGAAAAAATTACCTTCATATGAATGTTCATACAAAGTTTTATACATGATAATATTGAAGTTGACTGTGTTTTGAACTTCATGTCACTGTTTGGCAGAGAATACCAGTCCTCAATGGAGATTTCCTTCCAGCATTCCGACAGCTCAGCTGGTAGGACTCAAGGCATACTCTTAGAAGCATAACTGCTATGACTCATTTACATTTTCTGCCAAAAATTCGTTCAGCACAGGATAATGAACTCTGAACAGGGTTCCTTTCTGATTCTTTCAACCATCATCCAATTAACCATTTTTTAACATTACCAAAAAACAAGCCTTGTAATGACCCAAAGAGCAAAAGACGAAGAGATTTGAGGTTTAAGGTCCTACCAGCACACTCAGGTTCATCTACCAAGAAAGGACTGCTGAAGCTCTCCTGCTTACTTAGCTCTCCTATGGCCAAGGACACAGAAACAGCAAATTCTGATCCAGTTACTGCATTTCATTATTCTCAAAGATGTCCATTCTCAAGTTAGAATGAAATATTTTTTTTAAATGTCAAATCAGTCAACGAGTGGAATAAGAAAACTTTTCCGTTCCAGAAGTCTCATGTGGCTTCAATTCAAAAGCCAGAGAATACAAAACATACCAATATTTATAAATAATTGTAAAACATCAATTACAAATGGCTTTTATTATTCATATCATTCTTCTTGGTCGGTGACTTAGGGACTAAAAATTCACTATCGCATTTTCTCTTTATTCTTGCTATTCTCTCTCATCTATTAAGAACCTCATTTGTATCCCCATGAGGCAGAATTGCCTGGGAAGTCTAAAAATCAAGAAATCTGTACTATTTTGCTATCTTAGCTACTAAACCCTAGTTCCCTGAGGAAACCACTTGTGTTCATAATTATTCAGTTTCCTTATCTACGGAAAGTAATATTCGACCAATCCTTTCCAGGTTACTGTGTGGTTAAAAGAAATATTTGTAGCAGTGCTTGTGGAAAAAGTTCTATGTAAATGCATACAGTATAGTTAATTTTCCCTGAGATCTAGAAAATGCCTAAAATACTGGCATATACGTGGGTTTTCTTTTTTCTCCCCTTTCCTCGGTCTCTTTTGCTTTCCTCTGCTGTCCCAGCAGACTGACCAAATGTGCTCATCATTTTCTCCCTGAGGTCAAAGTTCAATAACTTAAGACAGCTTATTCCTTTACATCTTTTAATGTTTGAAATCTGGTTTATGCTACACTGTGAGTCTGCAAATATAAACAAAGAAAAATTTACTTGAAATTGTTTTCTATGTTGTACTTCTAAAAATTTTAAAGCACTTTTGTTTATCCAAAACTTCTGTTAGAGTGGGGAAATTATAAGCTGAGGATTGTCTTTATGACACCGTGGTATAAGGTGAAGAAGAATCTGTTGAGTAAGCTACGAAAGCACTATTACATCAGGGGACAGATAAGTCTAGATTTCTGCCTGACATTATATTGCAGCTTAATAGCAAGACAAGGCTTCAGATGACCATTTAAGCTTCAGTCACCAAAATAAATTTTTGAAATACAAAATAAATATTTTATTTACCAAAATAATTTTTTTAATTTAGTCAGAAAATTTTCTTTTCATCCAGAACAAAGAGCAGATTGAAGTTTCAAAGAAATATGAAATAAATTCAAGCTACATTAGGCTACTAGTTTGCTCAGTGGCCTTGCATTTATCCAACTCTTTTTCTTATGGGATGACAATTTCAGGCAATTATCGATGTTCCAAAGAGTTTGACTGCCAACAAGTTATATTATTTTGGTTCATATTATATTAATACAAACACTTGTTTGAGATTCAGTTTTTACTATTTAAATATTAGTCTTGGGTGCCTCCTGTACATACACAGAAAGTTCAAACTAGGGGCTTTGTAAACCAAGATCTATTTCCTAAAACACCAAATAGTGAAATCCTGTCTCCACAAAAAAAATACAAAAATTAGTGGGGCATGGTGGCCGGCACCTATAATCCCAGGTACTGGGGAGGCTGAGGCAGAAAAATTGCTTGAATTTGGGAGGCCGAGGTTGCAGCGAACTGAGATCACGCCATTCATTGCACTCCAGCCTGGGCGACTAGAGCAAGACTCCATCTCAAAAAACAAAACAAAATAAAACAAAAAAAAAAACCACAAATGCTAAATCATATAGAAAACACCTTCATTATAGAAATCCTGACAAAGAAAGCACATCTTAATAACAGTAAAAATCCAGTTATTTATTTTTCTTTTGAAATGAAGTGTCTGTCTTAAACTGTAGTTAAAAATTCTTAGAAATCATAATTATAGGTTTTCGGGTGCTTTCATTTAGAAAAGTCTTTGGTTTTGGGACAACACATAGAGTGGTAACTTGAAGAATAACTTGAGTGATGGACCATGGCATGCTCTCTAAGAACAGATGCCATTTCTTACTTCACTTAATATTCCAGAGACAAACTCAAGGACTGGTCTTTAGCAGGACCTCATTAAATATTGTTGGAATGCATGGAAAGAGGAGAAGCTGAGAATCCTGAAGTCATTTTACTCTGAAGAAGTATTATTTAGTGTTAGGTTTACCACATAACTCAGCATTTGATAGATATGGAGGTAAACTGGAGAAAGGTTGCTGGTTCCTAATCTTCTTGCAACCCCAGCCAACTCATTTCTGCCAGTAATGCCAGCCAGAAAATCTCCATGGAAAGAGGAATGTTTTTGAATTTCTACATTCAAAACTAGTTTTTTTTTAGTTTTTCTTATCTGATGATATGTGTTGTTCTCCTTCCCTGCCCCATCCCCGCACATCCCCACACACTTCAAGTGCATCTTTCTTTTTCCAATTCCTTGGGATTTAGGAGTGCTCTGCCCTTTGCCTACCTGCAGGCTCCTTTTCTAAATTAATCCAGGGAGTGCTGGTGAAAGAGCAAGAGTGAAGGCTAGCCTCCAGGAGCCTGTCAGTGGGCTCACAGCCCATAAGTGAAGGCCAGTAGAATCTACTGCCACCTGTACCCACTGTGTCTGCAGTGGGGCTGAGAGTTCACAATGTACACGGGGAGGTCATGGTTAGAGACAGGAAACCGGTACCCGGTGCTGTTTTCTAAGACGAGGAAATGCCAGCGCCTGGAGAGAGGTATCCTCACCTTCAGGATTGCTTTTGCAAACGCTGCCAGCTCCAAGCTCAGTCAGGCGCTGGCAGGAGGCCAAGTTTAAAGGTACAGCACCTTCTCTCTCTCTCTCTCTCACACACACACACACACACACACGTACGTGTACCCACCACACACCCCAGGCTGGGCGCCCTCCCAACACTCGTCTACTCACATCAGCGCCGGGTGTGCCGGGCTTGCCTGGCGCTCCTGGCTTTCCCGGTTCACCTGCAGGACCCTGAGCAGGGGGAGGAGGGTGCAGGGACAGGAAAGAAAAAGGTGCAAAGTTGAGACCCTTCGGACACAGGGGGCTGTAAAACATGTCTAAAGGAAGGAAATGGAGTGCCATTAACACCAACCAACTTACCGGTGGGCCCGGGGGACCCTTAGGACCTCGGTCACCCTGGAGGGGTAGTAGAAAAAGAGAAAGCAGTCTATGAGCGGGACAGGCTGGGGACCCCACTGGGACAATCCCAGGAGAGCTTATCGCAAGGATGGGGATGGGGTAAGGGTCAAAGGGGGAGGGAGGTTCATGACCAACAGGGATACCTCCCCCTCTAAAAATCCCCGGGGTCCTAGGATCCAACCCCCAACTCTAGTCCACATCCAATTCTGCCTAAAGGCACTTAAAAGTGGGGTGGCGGGATGGGGAGACCCTGGTCCTCTCCAAAAACCCACAGGAGCCCTGGGAAAGGAATAGGAAAAGGCAGGACTGAGAAACAGAGGTGACCTGAAGATAGAAACTTACGTCGATGCCATCGATGCCGGGAACTCCAGGGGGGCCCGGAGGCCCCGGAGGACCCTGCTCGCCCGGGGGACCTCTCTGGCAAAAATAGCAGACACAGGTTAGTGGAGCAGGTCGGGCAACAGGAGCAAATGAGCGCAGTGTCACGAAGCCCCCGCCTCCATCGGGTAAAAGATACCTTCCAGAGGAGGCTGGGTTTTTGAAACCCAACACAAAAATGTCTCAGACCTCCAAGCAAGCACGGCTTTGGTCTCCACCATATTCTAATGAGCTAAACTATGGGCTAGAGCAGGATAGACGTCCCCAAGGTAGGGAAGATCTCACTGGATCTCACCTCTGCAGAGTGCATTAAACAGAACTATGGAAAACGGAAGGGCTAACGTCTTTTTACCCTCAAAAGGACTCAAAAATGAAAATGGTGGTCATTCGATACCTCGATTTATCAGTCATTGCACGTCAGTGTTTTGACAATAATGGAACAGCCAAGACCAGAGACTCCACACCAGGATCTTTGTCCGGTGGAATGGGGAGGTGGGGGCTATTCTTGAGGGAAAGATTTGGGAGGAGGAGGGCAAGGCAGCCGTGAGAGCAGTGCCTGGCCTCATTACAGGTTTACCTGCAGTGACACTCCCTCAGTCCCTTGAATTAGGTCTTTGCATCTCGCTTTAAAATTACACCAAATTTCAGACTGACCCTGGGGTGTGATCCCCTTTTATCGCCGGCAGACAGCTACGTTTTGAAGGGGCTGGAGGGAATCCTGGTGTCTGAAATAGTATGAACGAGTTGCTTAGGGAATATGGGGTTTTTTCCCCCTTCTGAATTAAAAAAAGAAAAAGAAGAAAGACTCTTTCATCAAGGAAAACTTTGTTTTTCTAAAATCCAACGACCAAACAGGTTACAATGGGGTCTTTGTAAGTGAAACCTCAAACCTCAGCTGCGCTTAAGCGCCCCCGCCAGGTCCTCTCCAGCGCGGGAGGGAGGAAGCGCTGGGGCCTTTGGGAAACTGCTGAAATGCTGATGCGAGCCAGGCCGCCCGGTTCCATCCCGGGGCCGCCAGCACCGCTAGCTGGACTCGGGGTTTAGGACAGCCACTGCGGGCTGGAGGAGAGGGAGAGGGAGCTTGCCTGGATTCCCGCCTTTTCCAGCAAGGCCTGCTCTTGACAGTGACCAGGAGTGGGGGCAGGGGAGGAGGTGAGGTAGGGAAATAAGAAGCAATAACAGGCTAAGAATTAAACGTAGGTCTCGAGTCACCTTCAGCGCCAGAGCCTGCAGTGGGGAGGATCCAGGAGAGGGAGGAGCGCCCCTTCCTAGACCAAAGGGTCATCTAGGATTCTGGACTTCGACAGGAGTCACAACAGGTGCTGGAGGCTGGCGGGAGCGCGGCTCAGAGAGCCCTGGAGATGCTCCGCACAGTTCCTCTACCGCTAGGCCCCCACCTGTCCTCGTGTGTGCCTCAAAAATGCAAATACTTCCTGCCCCCAACTTACCTCGTCAGTGGTCTGGCTGGGCTGGAGAAGAAAAGACGGGGAGAAAGTGAGAAAAGCACCCTTCAAACTCACTGGCAACTTACTTGAGCGGCGCATAAGCAGAGCCCCGATAGGAGCAGCCCCAGGGCCCCGCGGTCCCGCGCCGTCCAGGCCATGCCCGCCGCCCACCGCTAATCCCTTGGCCTGGCTCGGCAGCCGGCCGCCCCTCTAGGCGGCTTCCAGACCCGTCACTAGCATAGGTGGCACTTCGTCCTTGCAGAAAAAGCACCCCCGAGAGTAGCGATGGCCAAGGTGTCCCAGCCTGGGAGGCGCGCGTTCCTTCTGTTTATGAATGTCCCCGGAGAGGGTCCTGGGATTGGAGGAGAGCTAGCAGACCGGGGAGGACGGATAGAATGACAACAGTCTCCCTTAACCCTTTCCCTGCAGCTGCACAGGCAAGGACTGACCACGCTGCTCTGCCTCCACCCCACCTACCCCAGTGCAGCCTCTGGCTATCCTCAGAGCCTCCCCAGGTGGCCGGTGCCAGTGTTGGCCAGTAGTTCTCAAGTATTCTTAGATATGTTTGAGACTAAGGGAGGAGGGACCACCGCCACCCAAGGGAGAACCCGCAGGTGGCTTCTACCTGCCAGGCTGCAGGTGGTTTCTACATGCCAGGTTCAAAGTATGACCTGTTCTTCCTTCATATTTCTTTAGTCAGTACAGCAAAGCACAGGCTCTCTTAGGGAAAGAGAATGATGAGGAGGGGTTCTTGGGAGGTGGCAAGGTGGGAAAGTTGGCAAGGTGGAGAGGGTTGAGCTGGGTAGAAGTGGCCTTTGCAGGTAGTCAGGGGACTTACCATTATTCTGGCTGGCAGCTCATGGCAAGTTTCTCTCCTAGGCCGCTGGGGGTCACAATGGATCAGCATCCATTGAAGTTCAAACTGGAGAAAGGTAGTAGACAGTCAGGTAAGGTTTTTTGGACAACTGAAGCTAGTCATTCAGGAGAGAGGTGAGTTTATACTTGTGGTCTAATTGTTAAAGAATTGGAAATCAAGTTGAACTTGAACACACTGGACCAGGACTCTTCCTTTTCCTTGAATACAAGTTTTCTAAGGGAAATGGGTTGGAAATCTCTTGCAAGTTTCTCTGATTATTAGGCATAGATGCCTTTAGCTTTGAATTATTTCAGCATACCCCTAGCCAGGAAACAGACCACACACACTGGGTTTCTATTTCTGTTCTGATAACAATCTCAAGAAGTAGATCCTATTAAAATGAGGTTCAGAGAGAACAAGAAACTGTCCAAGTTACAAACCGTAAGTGTCATAGTCTGGATTGAAACCCAGGCCTATTGAACTCTACAGGAAATATATGCTCTAAGATTTTAGATGGGAGATTAGAGACAGAAACAGAAAAAAAAAAAAAAAAAAAAAAAAAAGTGGCCATCAGAAGGACAAGTAGAAGAAAGAAAATCTAGTGTTGGAAAAAAAATTTGCACACCAGAGAAGACATTCTCTATGAAGTAGTCACAGCTTAAAAATGGAAATTTTAAGGGCTGAAGATGAAGGTAATGAGAAGGAAACCTAAGACTCAGGAGAAAAATATTTAAAATGTTTAATTTTATATAATCTTATTCATTTATTGAAAAGATGTATCTTTCTAGGCATTTGAAATTCTGACAACTTTCTTACATTGTTAGCAGGTATTACAGGAGAAAAAAAAAGAGGGTAACAGGAAAGAAACGGAGCTAGGAAAGTATTACCAGGTCTGAATCTGAAAAGATCCTCAGGTGACAAGGCAAAAAAATTAAAATGTCATATCCCACAGGAAGCCGATAGCCATGCGTCCTGCTGGTATCTCTTAACTAAGGAGATTTCTGGCTAAGAAAGGGGCATTTCAAATTGGATCCATACTTCTTTGTCATTGACGTTATGCAAATGTCTGGGTAAATATCCAAGTCCTAGATCTAGGCATTACTTCTTTTCCTTCAGCCAAGAGATATTTCCATGTCATCCCACCTGCCAAATGGATTCTAGATCTGCTAAATCTAGAATGAAATTACTTTTTTTTTCACTGTTTTGGAATCATCCAGAGTTGAGATTACTGGACAGAAGGTCAAAATTGGAAAGACAATGAAGAATGAAGTCTTTCCCTCTACCCCCAAGAAAGGGAAAGTTTAACCAAAGGAAGTTTTGGCTAACCAGAAATCCTATATCTTTTGTTTAGCTAGTTCATTAAAGTTATTTATTTCAAATGTGAAGAAATTCATTAAGCTGTTTTCTCAAATATGTAATTATCTCTGAATAAATTGGTACACCTGTTTAAATATGCGAGCTGCAATTGTGGCACCGGATAATGGGCTAATGAAATGTAATTCATCTATGAATACAGGCTAGGTTGTTCAGAGTGCCACATAGATCAAGAGTTTCTGAACACATCTGCACATCCATGTAAACACCACCTTCGCACCAATAATCATCTATACAACAACGATTTTTTGGCATGAAATATGAATTCCAATTTGCATGCTAATTATTTTGAAGGAAGACTGGCAGAGTGCCTTGGTAAAAGTCACTTTTGTTATACATGTAAAGTGCTGATTTTCACACATTTCGTATTTTCATACCTGGTGTCATTCTTCTCTTTGAATACTCACTGACAAAATATATGTAGAAAGTAGTTTCTTTTGGCTGGTCTGAGTTCAGTGTTGTTTATAACTAATTTAGTCCTTTAGTCAACATTTGTGAAGTCCCACTAGAAGCCAAACACTAAGGAAATATTCTAGAGAAACCAAAGATATTTCCCTCTCCACAACAGGTTTATAATTTGCAAGACAAGAAAAATACAAGTAAAGAAATAAAAAAAGATTGTTTTTAATATACTAAACAGAACATAAAATGTCCTAGCAAAATCCATTCTTCTCAACATAAAATATTTCTTTATTGTCTCAAGGAAAACTGAGTGGTATGAAAGTAAGGTTCCTCACATCTGTCCATATTTGGCATTATTCAACTATTTTCTACAGGACAACATAAAGGTATAATACAATCCTTAAGGTTCTAATAATGCCATGCCTAGCTGACAACACATTTAAGCAAGGAATTTTTTGCCCCAACTCTCTATTATTTTACCAGGGGTAATGATTTCTACTTATTTTGCTAGGTTATTAAGAAAAATTAATGAGATATTTAAGCCCTTCATAAGAACTAAACAAAAACTAACTGCAGACAACTATCTTTTCCTCCTGAGAGAGCATGTTAATGACTATGAAACTTGGCTCAATGTTAATGAGATTGGCACAAGGTTAGATTTTTGCAAACTGAATTATGATTAAATTTTACAACTATGAAACACCAAAAAACTAGCTCTTTAATAGGCCAGATGTTTCATTAAGCTTTTGTCTTCATTGGCAACAAAGATTTAAAGGAGCGCTTGAGTTCTCAGATCTCATCTTTCCTTTCAGTTTATGATCAAATGTTGGTTTGTACCATCATAAAAGACCTTCAAGTGAAGCTTCCTGATTATTGAGCAGGAGGCTCTGAGCTGCCTCAAAATTTGAAAATGTCCTAATTCTATGTAGGTTAAACCATGCTGTTCCAAACATAGTGCTAGGGATGTAGGCAGCACTCATATTTAATGCAACACTGGATCATACCAAAGGCTACAGCAGAATGGTGAAAGGAGAAAGCAGTAGACTTGGAACTAACAGACCTGAGATGTGGTCACTTATTTATTCAACATATTTTCATATAACACATTCATGTGCTTTGGGATAGACACCATGAAAGATACAAAAATATCTAGCATATAAAGCAGTATCTAAGCAGAAAATGCCTTTCATGATAAATACTATAGCAGTGGAGATGACAGAAATATTTCTGTAGCTCGGACCACCAATGAAGGGATCATATAACATGCACCCTATGAGTAGGGCCCTGAAGCCCCACTTCTGTTATTATAAGCAGAGACAGGGAGGGTAAAGGTTAGGGTTTACACAGAGGGGTGACAACAACAGCCCCAAAGGTAGGAAATGGTATATAGAGAAAAGACCAGATTTGCTGGGGCAGAGTAGACATCGGATTTTATTTTTCACCTTGAGTTCCAAGCTAAGGAATTTAATATTATTTGTTAGATTATTATTGAATTGTCATTAAAAGCTTTGTTTGCAAAAGATAGGGATGGGGAAAGCTTTCATGATTTAGAAGGGCATTTGAGGAAATTTATTTGGTCATAAATGCCTAACCCTTTGAGGCAGAAAGAGGCTACCACAGTAAAGCAACACGAGGTGTTACACTCTCAAGTAGGAAGAGGCATCCTGAGTTATCTGTCAGATAAAAAAAATTTTAAAGCCTCCCCACATTTTACATACCCCTTCAGCTGCCATCCTATCTCTGTTCCTCTTTATGCAAAACTCAAAAGAGTTGTCCATAACCATTGTCTCCAATTCCTCTTTTTATTTTCTCATGAGCCCATTCCAATTGGGCTTTTACTTCCAACACTCCAGTGGGTCTTTTCTTAAGATCACTCTCTTTGATTTCTAAATCCAATGGTCAACTATTTGACCTCTCTACACCATGTGAGTCAGTTTCTCCTTCTATCCTTTTTGAAATACTATTTTCCCTTGGCTTTCAAGGCACCACAATCTCCTGGTCCTCTCCTATATTACAGTTTTCTCCTTCTTCACCTCTTTTGACAAATGTTCCTCATCTCAGCAGTCTCTAAATGTTAGATATTTCGGACTCAGTTCTTGAACTTCTCTATTACGCTTGTCTCTTGGTGACTTCCTGACTTTAAATACCAGATATATGTTGACAATTCCCAGAGTTCTTCTCCCAGATGAACCTATCTGTTGAACTCCAAAAGCATACATCTGACTACTTACCATCTTCATCTAGATGTCTAGTAACAATCAAACTAACCCCAATATTCAATCTAGCTCCTGATATTCTCCCTGACACCTGCTCTTCCCACAGCCTTTCTTGTGTCAGTAAATGGCACATCTATACTTCCAATTACTCATGCCAAAGGTATTGGTGTCATCCTTGATTCTTCTTTTTCTCTTATACCCCAAATCCTGTTTTACCTCAAAATATATTAAATTTTGATCACTTTGCATCACCTCTACCACTACCACCCTGTTCTGAACCAAGGCTGTCTCTGCCTGAATTATTGCAGTAGATCTTAAGTAGCCCTGGCTCCTACATGCTTATGTCCTTCTCTTCTTTCTCCTACAATATATTCTCAAAATAGCAGCCAAAGAGATCCTTTTAAAAGGTGAGAATGTTGCTTATCTTTATCCAAAACCATCTGGTAGTCACCCAGCTCACACAGCATGAAAGCCAAACTACTAACAATTTCCCAACCACATCTCCATCATGTTACCTCTCCAGCCTCAATATCTCCTTTCTCGGTCTCATTCCAGCCACACTGGCTGCCAGTGAGTTCTCAGATGTCACCCACCTACACCAGATCCTTTTCTACTCACCGTTCTCTTTTCCTGGAATCCTCCTCCCCCAGATATCCAGATGCTAATTCCCTCAATTCCTTCAGTTTCTGCCAAAATATTTTCTTCTCAATGAGGCCCTAACTCAAGGCACTCCAATATCCTGCTTTGTTTTTCCCCTAGCATTTATGACCACCTGGCATACTCTATACATACTCATCTATTCATAGTGTCTATCTTCTCTCCCCAGAATGTAAGTGACATTGGAGCGTTAATTTCTGTCTGCTTTCACCACCATCTAAAAATGAGGTCTGTAAGTTAGCAGGTGTTTAATAAATAGTTACTGAATCAGTACATAGATATGGATAAGAAATATAGTGAAGAAAGAATTGACAGTATTTGGCTTCAGGTTTGATTATGATCTGTGCCAATTCCCTTCCCCTGTCTGGGTTCCAGTTTCCTCATGATAAAATGAGAGGTTTGGATTAAATGCAGAGT